AGACCAGATTTCATATACCATGCAATAAATTCATCTTTAGTTATATAATCATCATCATTTGTATTTAGTTCATTAAATGCATCATCAATACATTTTTGTAAATTATTTTGTTTATTTAAATCTTGTTCATTTGAATAAGAAATATGACGTCTTTTATTTGAATGTGTTACATCAACAAGTGTATGTAACATTTTATCTATTTCATCTTTTGTAATTTTCCCATCATTATCTAAATCGAATATACTAAAGAGAGTTTCGATAAGACGAAGACGATTGACTACGGTAGCAGCCGATAATGCTATGGCAAATTCTCTAAATAAAATAATTTTATTTGATTTTATTATTCATTGCAACAAAAAAACAATGAAGTAAGGTTGATCGATTTTAAGAGTAATTCAACAATTAAGAAATATTGAAGAATGAAATCCTTTATGTAATAGTCCAGTTAAAGTCTCAGGTAGTGACGTAACCAAACGGGGACTCAGCTCTTTTCTCTCAAGAATTGACTTGTGTTTTAAAAGGGAATTGAGCCCGCTCTCCTTCTTACACCTTTTTTTCTATAGCATAGAGAAAAGCATAGATAAGATCTATTATTTTTCTTGGTTGACTGTAGAAAGACTGAAATGAAAAATATCTAAGGAAAAATGTCCAATGAATAAATGTAGAAGAGAACAAATGTCGAAATTCGACAAATATTGAAAAAAGTGACGTCTCCAGGGTAGGTTTGGATGTGAGTGTAGATAAAGTGAAGATTAGACTCCCACACCCTCGGTCTTTCTACATCAAATCTATTTCTCAATGTCTCACCTAGTTGAAGATTTCGATTGAAATATCTTTTTAAAAACTTCATTTATGCTTTGATTAGAAGACATTCATGTACTGATATTTATTTTCATTGAAATTATCTATTAAGTTTTGAATGATTAAAAATTTACATCCAAGTATTATACTAAAACAAGATTATAATTAAAAATCGATATGATCAATATTATATATTGTCTTCTCAGGGAAATTCATTCTTTGTAAACTCATAATTTAAACAATCAATTTGATAGATTTGATCAATATTATACGAATAAAAAGAGTGTCTATCACATAAAATAAGTGTGACTTTCGGTATTTATTGATAGGTTCCATAATACTTGCTTCCTGGAGAGTTGCTGCTACGATGCGTACTCTCCAGACAATTGCAAGAGAACAATGTTTACTCCATTAAAAAGTCAAAAATAATTTTTCAAGAGTTACAAGTTATTGTAAGCTAAGAAGCAGTCAAACAAGTTATAAATTAGTGCAGAATTCAAAAACCAATGGGAAGTTCACGAATCAATTTGGAATGTATTTTCCTTAGTTGGAGTATTGATTGATGATATCTCAAAATCGACAAGAAGAAGACTATCTAACATTCAAACATTCTCATTTTGAAAGTAATTACGTGAAATAGATATTCATTATGTAATCATAGTGTCAATTGTTTTATTATCTCTTTCTTTTCACAAGAACTTAATTTTTTTAATTTTCTTACCTAAAATCAATAAAATGATTTTTATCTCGGTCATAAACATTAAACATATGTCTAACATATTCTAATGTTTTTTGTTTAGGTTTTCCCATTATTTTTGCATATTCATTTTCAAATTGTTTCAATGTTAATTTACCATCAGGACAATCTTTATAAAAATTTCTAAATATAACATAAGATATTTAAACGAAAAAAAAAAAAGATCTTGAACAAAAATAGTCGACAACTTACGTATGTAATTTAAGTAATTCTTCTTCTGTAAATCCAGTATCGTGACAAAGTTCTTCGGTTGTTTCTTTACTTAATGGCTCCCCATTATCTAAATGACGTCGAGATAATTTTGAACCCATTGATTAATTATTACTTAAATTTTCAAATAATACAAATGATTTAAAATTATATAGACTTGTTTTCTTTGAAATTGATAATTTGTCTTAGTTCTTATGTCAATAGAATGGGAAAGCGTGACTGAAAATCAATATCTAGAAAAAAAAAATGCAACGATTACTTAGAAAATGTTATTGTGACATATTAACATATGTCTATGTGTGAGTAACATAAATATATTAAAAACAACGAGAAAGGAAAAAACTCCTAGAAAAGCAACAAACGTAGACGTTGCATTAACATATGTAAAGAGTAGTAAAAAGTGAAACTTTGAAATAATTATGTGCAAGAAAACAACATCTATATATATGAACATCGTCTTATGAGTATGAAATCTAAAAGAAATCGATCAATTAAACTTAGTATAATAAAACTCGTTTGGAAGTTTGAGATATTTTCTGAATGCATGTTTACATCTATAACATATATGTGGTTAAAAAAAGCCTGATACATTACTATTGTAGAGTTGATTTTGATTACCTTCATATCGTCAACAAGTCTTCACTAGCCGTAGTAGAAAAAAAGAAGATGTGTATTTTTCAACACTACTTTGGAACACTGCAGCTATCACAAACATTCTATTAGACAACTCTATTAAGACGGTATTTTTTGCCTTGGACGTACTTGTAATGGTTAAATGTTCATCTATCTCAATTCTTTTTATTAACATTAGAAAATGATCATTTTCAAATGAATTTTCTTGAATTTGCACGAACTAACTAATCGACACATCAAAGCCATAGAATTAAGAACTTTTCTTATCAAGACAATCATATAAGATAGATATATATATATATAGATGCTTCACAAAGCTTCATTTCACTAATGACTTACTATTTGTTTCTGATAAGACTAATCTGTCATGTACTGTCATTATTGAGCTAATAAATGGCGTGCTAGCTTGAATTTCGTTGGCGCCATAATTAAATTTCTAAAACACGATAGTACTTGAATGAACATGTCTATTATTCGACCACATCGTTCTTTCTTAAAGGCACTTTGGTGTCAGTTTCGAAGATCACTGGAGAATGACTCATCAGAAAATTTGAACATTTCGGGGCAGATAAATTTTGAAGAGTAGAGCAAAGGTTGTTCCTGACTCGAAGTTGTTCAATGCTACCTTTTGTGAGATATCGGGCTTATAGGTCAAAATGACTCCTCATTTCTCCGAAATACTACGTTCGATCGAGTTCAAAACCTTTCTACCAGTACTAGACATCATTTGAGGTGGATACTTTTTTTGGTTTTCTTATATTGTTTATTTTCTCAATAAAAAAAGCCAGAATGCTGGACTTACGCTAAAAAAACATTTGTTTTTCTTGCTAGGACAAAGTCATATTCTATAAATTGAGAGTACTGCTTCGCTCCATTTCTCCAATACGCTTAGAGGCATTGAGCTGAAACGTTTTTCACATATGCGAGTCGTTATTTGACTTGAGTAGCTTTTTATTATTTGAAAAGCTATTGCTCTGGTAATATTTTTGCAGCTTTTACAAACTTTGAGAAAAACATAAAACAAAGTTGAATGCCAACTTTCTTCTGCATACTCATAATTGTTTCTTTTCTATTTAAGGCTTTTGTAGGTTTCCGACTAGTGTACATTCGATAGTATAGTATTCTACGTCTAGAGAATAACCTTTTTTATGATTACGAGGTGCCCATAATCAGATATGCATGAATAATATACTTCTTGTTGACTATATCTCTTTTTGATTACTAACGAAAGAAATGAAATAGTCAACGAAAGAATTAAAAACTAAGAGTAAATCTTTTTGAAGATAGTGGCTCCCAAATTTCGCCATACTGATCGTAGCTCGAATAAACTCGATGGGCTATCTGAAACTGAAGTCGAACCGTATCTCATGTATCTTGATATGCGACTCGAAGATAATCATATGCTAAAAATAAAATAGTTACAGATAGATCAAATGCAAAAAGGAAATATTTTGAAAAAAGTAAAAAGTCGAAGTTTTTGAGATAGAGAGGTCTCGAAAATCATCTTTTGCCAGGTCAATACGTTCTAAAAAAAGAATTATTTGTTTGCGGACCAATACAGGATACTTCACAGTATGTGTTCCTGAAAAACAAAAAAATTGACAAATTTTGATTTGTTGGTATAGCTTCAAAGTAATCCCGGTCAAATGCTATATAAAAGAGGGCTCTTCGTTATTAGTTAGTGCTTTTATTAGACCCAATGCTTGAAGTCCCTAGCAGAAACTGACGCTCGATTATTCATTATAAGCAGAATTCTCGTAATGATCATTTTCAAAAATTACTTAGGGCATGGATCATAGACAACTAACACCGCTGAACATAACCAGTTTTTGATCATTTTAGTTGGGGAAAGAAGTTCTGATGCATACAGAAAAGTTTGTTTTGCTTTTTCTCAAAATCAATTTTTGATAAAAAAAAAATGTTCTCTCCTTTCCTGTCGTACAGTACCTCCAATCGGGCTGAAATTCTTTATGGTACTTCAGTGGAAGTATGGTGCATGTTGTTTTTTCTTCAAAATGATGTTCCGAAGAAATTTGACAACCTTTAAAAAATTAGTACTATTGAGAAAAAACACGTTCTTTGACGATTCTTCCAATATTTTGCTTCACCTGAGCTCTGAAAACAATATTTTTGAAAGAAAAAAATAACATACTCATCCCGATTTAATCCTAATAGTCATAAAAAAATTGCAACCCAAAAAAATGCCTCATAAAGTTTTGGAGGAGAGAAGACTTCTGATCATTTTTAACCTTTGCGACTTACATAGCTCCTTAAAGGAAGCATCAGGAAATTTTGAGTATATGTAATACTTAACTGACAGGTGCAAACAACGAAATGCTTAATTCATACTCGGAACAGTATATAAGAGAAAAGAAAGCTAGATACATACACTTGTGCACATGGATACACATAGTCATGTCGCGTTTGCTTTGTAATAAAAAATAGTGAGTAATTGAATTGAAACAAAAATGATGCTATTACGTAGCAATGTTTTATTGTTCTTTTTTTTTTCTGATATCATCGGTATACAAAAAAAAAGCATCCGTACGTCATGACTTTATTTTAAAAATGATGAAATTATGACATAGAATGATTAATTTTATCTATTTTCGTTTGAATCAGATTCTTCGTTTTTAATTTTTGATTGACTCTTTTTATTATGATGATCACTAGATTGTTTCATATCATGTGGTCTTTCCCATTTACGTGTTAATAGATTATATTCTTTAATTATCTGATTCTCACCTGTTTCATTTGTACTATCCATTAAATATCTATATAAATATATGATCAGCGAAAAAAAATAAAATAAAAAAACATTCTCATTTCATACAATTTATTATTTTTAGTTGCAAGACCATTGCTTGTTTTAAAATCAGGAATGTCTACTATAACTTTCCATTTTTTCTTTTCCATATCATACTCTTCAATTTTACCATCTGAATATAAATTGATATTTATAAAATAAAATTTGCATCAATTAATCACTTACAAGGTACAGCTTTTCCTTTTTCATCAAAATTATACCCACCAGCAACAATTAATGTTCTATATAGTGAAATAATATATGTATATAAACAGAAAATGATCAGTAAAATTTACGGTGAGTCTGTATTATCAATTATACTTATTAATGGTCTAGCTCTTGGAGGCTGAAGATCAGCTAGTGTTTTCCATTCTTTTTTTTCAAGATCCATTAAAAGTACGTCGCTATTTTGAATTATAAATACATTCCGTTGGTTTTTATTTGTGAAAGTAATTTTCTTACCCATTACATACAATCTCATGTCCAATAAAATCAAATCCACCAATTACATACAAAACATTATCAATAACACTAACACCTGGGCCAATGCTACCATCTTAGCATAAAATAAACAGATTTATTTTTTTTTCTTGTTGAATATCAAAACTTTACTAGGCATGTTTGGTAAATTTCTCCATTCGAATTTATCTAGTTTTGTATCAAGCATAGTGACATTTGACATTGTTTCATAATTAAAATTATGTCCACCAACACCAATAATTTTACTATCATCAGTTGCTGCTAAACCAAAACCCATACGACCATTACCCGGTATTGGAGGAAGCGAAATTAATTCTTTGGTGTTGTTATTGTAACTATATACCAAGGACTTTTATAATAAGATTATTGATAGAAGAGTAATTCTTTTTTTTTTATCGGCATAAATAGCCGAAAGGTTATTTCAAAATAGAACTTTATTTAAGAAACATTAGTAGTATTGAATTTCTTTCACAAAGTATTTTGTGTTTATCACAATCAGTAATACAGAAATGTTTAAAAAATCTATTAATTGCTGTAATATCTTCTAAACTACAGTACTGCTCAGAAGTCTGGTACCACTTTTTTGTTTTGAGTCGTATATTGAAACTATACAACATTAATTTAATTCAAGTCTATGTTTGATTAGCAGATATCGAATACTATATATTTACACCTGCTCAATTCGAAAAACTCTTGAATATGAAATACCATCAAAAAAACAAATTTCAGTATTAAGAAAAAAATGACATAAAAAAAACACAAAATGATATTGTTGTTATAGAATACTTCCATGATCGGTCAACCACGAAAAACACAAAGTATTCAAAAAGCTTTTCATTTTATTAGACTTTGCAGAACTTTTTCCGCTGATCATTTTAGTAAAAAAATATTTCGAAATTCGAATTTCATTGAGAATTGACGGTATTATAGTGAAAATATTCAATACTTTGAAATACCGGGTGTCCCAATATGTTTGCAACATAGTTTGTTTTGTGAATATCTCTTCAGAGACAAATGATAAAATCTTGGTTTTTCTTTCAAAAGATGAGTCGTGAAAAGCTTTACAAAAGCTGTAAGAAAAAAAATCCTATTCATTTCTTTTGATGGTTTCTTCCATACTCAAAACTAAAAGAAAATGCATGATAGTGCTACTTCCCACTGCATTTAGCATAATAAAAATGTTTGAAAGATTTTTATATTTTGCATGTATCTCGGCTTACGAAAATGATAGCACCCTGATTTTTGTTTCAAAAGATGCGCCGTTAAAAGCTCTATAAAAGCAATATAAACAAACTCCTATTGCATAACAAAAAGTCTTTTGAACATTTTTATTATCATTTTGTAGGTTTTTTATGTCATTTTTTTATTAGTACTCAAGTTCTGTTTTTCTTATTGTATTTCATATTCAAGAGTTTTTCGAATTGAGCAGGTGTATATATACAGTACTCGGTCTCTGCTATACAAATATATAATTAAAATAAATTGATATTGTATAGTTTTAATACATGACTGAAAACAAAAAAAGTGGTACCAGACTTTTGAGCAGCACTGTAGTCTTGGTCCTTATTTGTCAACAACAGTAATTAAGATAAATGAAATGAGTAACAAACATAGTTATCGTTTTAAGGTTGAATTTGGAATCGAGTAAAAACGATATGGATCCAAGTCGGAAACAATTGAAATTGAGCAATCTATCTTAATTGTTAAATTAGAGGCGAATTATAAATAAACCATTGATTTCTTTGACAAATCAAGCTCGAGTTAAATTAAAAATCACTTATTTTTAAATGATGATTTAGCTTACTGAACAGAATTTTCTCTTGTTATCCTTTAGTTAATCTGTGTTCTTAATATAAAATATTGATCAACATTTTTTGGACGATCTTTTAAAAACTGAGTTCTTTTTTTTTTCCTGGGGTTCCACCAAAAAAGCTGAACCAATATCAATGTAAAGAGAAAAACATGAGCTATATTTTGCTAATTAAAACCTTTTAAAAGCATATTATCTCTAATGTAATCTGCTTATTTTACGACAAACAATACACAGTGATCATGTCAGCTTTTTATCATATTTCTAACATGAATCGTGTTTCTTTCCAAATATGACATTCAAAATTTCAGAGAGTGATCCCTCAAAACTCGAAAACATCTTTTGTGAAATTTCAAACTATCGGTCACCTTTAGCAGTGTCCGACACAATTTTCAATATGATATTTTGAAAGAAAAGCGACTCATATTAGAAATTAGCAAAATGTAGCTCGTGTTCCCATCTTTCTATGCATAGGGGCACAGTTTTTTACAATAATCTGTAGAAAAAACTCAATTTCAAAGATCATTCAACAAAAATTGAGTAGCCCAGACTATTATATGTCCAGTTCCATTATGACTACTGTCCTGCGAGTTGTTCAGGCCCCGGATATGACTTCATATCCAGATCCTACCCTACAAATAATAAGATCTCAAAATTTTAAAATATTGTTACTGTTTCAAACTGCTAATTTATATAAAAGCATAGAAGAGAAAATCGGTTCGATCGTGATTGAAGAACTTATTGTATTTGAGAACAGTTCAGAAAAGTAAAAAGCGATATTGTTTTACTAAAAGAATTCATTTTTAATGGGAATTCATTTGCAGATGATGAACTAAAAGCATGAAGAGGAAAATGAATTGTCATGATGAAAAAACATTCCTGTATTTATCCACAATTATGACACTTGGTACCAATACCACATTCCATTCTAGCATCATCAACAATAAGAAAACATATAGCGAAATCGATCGGATTCCAGAAGCAAAGAGGCACCGAGTGAATCTTGAATCACTTATTTTTTAAAAGTTTGAAAAATTATACTGTACCTGTGAAATAGATCTGACGGGTGTCGATTAACTTCGACCGAGTAACGAGTACAGCTGTCCGGGTCCGAGTGTGGAAGACCGTATCCATAAAGAACACTAGCTATGACTCAATATTTAGGAGTAAAGTTTTCTTTGAATATCACATAGACACGAACTGTACTTCTGACACAAATCATCCATTAAATGTCAGTTTAATATCAAAGTTACACTAAAAACTAAATTCGTCCAGATTATTCAAGTTAGAAAATTAGGGATTACAGCTGACAGAATCTTGCATTGAATGTATCTTACTTACATATAATCATTTTCTGGTGCTTTTTTTTGTCCTGTTTTAGCATCAACAATATAACCACCAAGGATAAAAACACTATCATTCATTTGCATAAGTGCATATCGTTTTCGAATTTCTTTTTTTTCATTTTGTAATTTTTTTATAGCATCATCTTGCATATACATCATTTGATCATCATTTATAGTTATATTCGGCGATGTTACAACAGCATTTGGTCGACCCATTTCTAAGGTATCTTTATGATTTTGAAAACGTTGATTATAACTTAGTTGAAGATTTTTTTCAAAATATTCATTTAAACAATTATCACATTTATTGGATAGACAATGAATTACTTTTAAATTCGGTTTTTTTATATAAGCCTATTGAGAAATTTATATTTCGAATTTTGAAATATTAATATTTACCTGAAAAATAGGTTCAACTAAGCGTTGCTTTATAGGTTCAACTGATAATTGACAAGAATAGATACTGATCGGTATTGTATTACACCGATATCGATTATTCATTACACAAAAAAAAACAAAAATTAAATAATAAGCTCTTCGCGCGTCGTTATGATATATCGTTGATGAACAAAATAAGAAAAAGAAAATGAATCACGATAGCGTGCAAAACAATAAGTTTTAATATTAATAACAAAACTTCATCGGTTTATATTCAGAAAAAAAAGGTAACAAAATGCTGCGTACATGTTTACATCGATATACCTCTTTTATTTCGAAAAAGCATACCAACTTAATAATAGATCAAACTCGTTATCTTTTTGTTTTTGATTTATACAGATAACTTGTTTATGATCTATTAATTGTTGAAAATAATTTTGAGCCATATATTCGTTTTCTACGTAACCATTTGTAATGAGCCATTGACAAAATTGATTTCCATGAAAGATTGTTTCAGTAGGAGAATTCATACTAAAACAGAAATTCATTAACTTTATTGTTTTTTTTGTAGTTTAAACAGATTTTTTAATTACATGCAAAGGAATTATTTGTAATATTATTGTACTCTTTCGAAGAAAATGAAACGTTAAATTTCAAAAAAAAAAAGAAACATCCTCGTAAACGTTTTAATAAAAGACAAAAGTTAAGATGTCCGATCTTTGTATTATGACATGTAACAACTTAAAAATATTGTCAAATACTATTATTTTTTAACAAAAAAAAACTTAATTAGTTGATTTAAAAGTAAATAATAAAATATTTTCATATGTATACTTAACCGTATGTTACCAGCAGAGTATGTACATAATGATGTTAACTGTTTATTTATGTTGGAATTTCGTCTCTTGTAAATTAAAAGATTTTAAGACCTTGAAAAAATAATCCCTTAACTTATGAGAGAGAGATCAACACTATATATGTACTATAGCAATGATATATGGTTGAATCTATATGAAAAGATGCAAATAGAATATCTTATTTAACCTATAGCGCGATAGTTTTAGCGCAAAATATTCATTCATTTTTCGGCCACTTAAGGGCAACTGATTAGAGTTAACTGAATACAGGTTTTTTCGCTATCTCTGAATGTGTGTTCAGATTTTCCTTTTTGGACAAGATTGAAAAGCTATCTCTACATTTTGTTGGAAAATCGAAAATTGTGTCTTGAAACAACTTCAATTCAACATTATTGTAGGACACTAAATAAGATATTAATTATAATAAGTGAAATCTTATCTTTTCATTTTCACTAAAGAGCGAGTTTCTATGGAAATTGATGATAGTTGTTCACTTTAATTTACTTCTGATATCTGAATCTCAATAATGAATAATATAACATATAAAACCAGGAGAAATAGTGTTTTCTTTACTTACTACACGTCTTTTTAAAATATTTTCATTATAAAATCATACGAAATAAAAAATCTTTCAGACGACTTAAATAGAGAATTTCATTCATGAAGAACAACATATTTCACCATTTATGAAAGTTTCTATCGGTTGTTTTAAAACTTTGCTTAGATTTCCCTTGGCTATTCCTAACTCACATGAATAAAAAAAATGTCAAATATAGATTTTTTATCTAATTTACATGTACAATAAAATTACAATAGACTCAAGCATAATTATAAAAAGAAAAAAACAATAACACTAAGCATAGTAGGAAATACATACATGATGATTTCATTACAAAACTGTTTTGTTACAAATTATAGTTAGTAAAAATCTTTATGAAAATCATTCTTACTTTGAATGATGAATAAAATCCGGTCGAATTCTACATTCTAAATCTAATACATCATTGTTCTCTATTGGTCTATTGTTACCATCATCTCGACAACAATTTATATTAAATCCACAACAATGAAATAATTTCATAATTCTAATAAATATAATCAGAAAAGAAATTCGTTTTTTTCTTGTATTTATATTTTACTTTTGTGTAATTGGTACAAGTAAATCAGCATCTAATGCAAAGACAAGAAATGTTATAATACCCTTAAGAAGAAAAAAAAGATTTGCAAAAGAAATTATAAACAAACTAAATAATCTTACTTGACCATGCAATAAAACTGTATCCAAAAATTGTAATTCATAATAAATTCCATTGCGGTCATGTGCGAATATTAACCATAATAAAACTGATACACACTAATATATAAAAAAAAATCATCGTGTTTTTCTTCTGTTTGTAACATATTCGAGAAAAAAAAAGTCTTACAATAATAGCATCAATAGTTAATAAAGCAACAAGAATTCCATGACGAAATAATTGTGTATCAGCTTCTAATGGTTTGATTTCTGAAATTTTCAACGAAATTTTAAAAAAATGAAAATCAAAAAGTTACCTGCAGGAATAGGTTGTATATCTGTTTGTTCGTCATCATCCATTAATGGTCGAATTTCATTGGTTCCAGAATTTGAATGATCAATATTAGAATGGGATCGATTCTCAGTTGGATCATGTTTTAATCGAAATGTTCGACGAGCTATACGAAGTAAACTTATTGTATTAATTAAAATACATAAAACAAGTAAAACTATTGAAAGAATAATTTGAATTTTTCCAAATTTTTCCGTTTCTAATATTGAGACTTCTTTTGATCGATCATTTGATGAGTAAAAAAGAATTATTAATGATATACATAATGAAACAGTCCATCCAAAGATATGATATATCCAAGAACATCGACGAGCTAATTGATTTGAATAACAAATTGTTATCATTAAAGCTATTGACAGACTTGTTGTCCATGTTCGAGTTGTTAAGGCTATTAAAATACTACCTAAACAACAAAACAATTGTTACAATTGATTTTTAGATTCTTTCTTCGTACTACCACCGGCAAATCAGAAGTAGATAACTGTAAGGGAGTCATTTTTCACGGTTGCGGTCCCAATATTTCATAGAAGATAGCATCCGCAAATTTTGAATCTATGACAAATTTTGCTCTACTCTTCAAGGCCTCTCGATTCTGAAATTTTCAAATTTTTCTGATGCGTTGTTCTTCAAAAACTCCGGATGGAGGTACCCTGAAGTGTTCCTTTTACACTAGTGACCTCATGAAAAGCAAACGAGTTACTTGAAGTTTATTTTAAATAGAATTAAGGAAGAATAAAAATGATTTTTTTTTCAATGAGAATTCATTTCAAATGATCTGCTATCAACATTTTCAAATCTATCTAAAGCTAAATCGATTCGATATTTTCTTGAGTGTGAAAACATACAATGACCAACAACGTTTAGAAATGAATCATTGTCACTAGTTCGATAATTGCTGAGAACTTTTTTTCTTATTTCTATTAATTAATCTGTATTTTCTGCGACGAGCAACAATGATATTTATCCTTACTCTTGATAAGCATCTTACCAGCAACATTAGTAACATGAAAGACGCGATGTGTTTCCGGTAAGAAAAGATATGAAAAAGTAAATATCCTATGTTGCACGTGTGTTCGCACTGTTGCCAGTCAAAGAACAACTATCGGTGCAATGCGATGGAATGGTGGTCAGTATTTAACCGACTATTTAAGTGTCGAACTACCGGCGGTATAGTGCACATTATACTAAACGATTTACCAGAGGTTTTTGTATCGTTTCAATCACATATGGAATATGTGAACATATATTTGCTGAATGAAATTAAGATCATGTGAAGAATTCTACAGTGTCAATGTACGATATATATGAAATAGTTTTAAATGTATCTGATAATAAAACGGAACACTATATTAGAATCTTTAGAAGTAATGAGTGATGCAAAAGGTGAAAAGAATAGTCAAATATACAGTGGAGTGCAAAAATAATTGCCATTAGTATTTGATAAAGTTACTCTACTGAACATGATGAATATTGAAAGTTTTTTTATAAATAGATTATACATACATAAGAGTACACAAATATAATAATCAATAGTTAGCTCTTTTCTCCTTCAGCCAAAAAAAGCAGTAAACACTATAGCTTCATCGATACACTCAAATAACTTATGATCGTTTTTCCTATGTACATGGATTGTGTTCTAGCCTAAAAGGTGTGTTTGGAGAAGCGTGAAAGAAGCTATGAACCTCGTTTTGGATCGAGATTCTGCAGCCGAAGATTCAGCTCGATACGATGTCTTCTCAATTTTTAAAGTGGGAAAGAAATGCAACACCACCTTCTCAACTTTTGACCTCTATTTGACTCTGAAGACGAATTTTGAGAATTGTTCACTTGGAACAAAATTTCATCTACTAGTCAAGGTCTCTCTACTATGAAAATTTCAAGTCGGTCAGACAAGTCATTGTCGAGATAGTTTGAAAATCTGGTGAGAGCGCCATTTGTTCTGGCAGTTCTACACACCATGATCCTCCGTTTGCTTTTACGATGCCGTGTCGTTGGAGCTCATTTGCATTTCGTTAGATACTATGGACATAGTCCTTCTTTAAGAAGACAATTTTCGCAGCGCTACGATTGCCCTAGTCGTGATAGTGTAAGATGGCTGTTTGATATTCTAGAAAAATGGTGGATACTCGAATCATGATGTCTCTCGCTCTACCGAACGACACTTTTTGAGGAATCGCGCTCTGATTAAAATCTATAGCACATCCTTGATTACTGATAAAAGTTTCAGAAGAATCCGTTCATGCACTTCACAGATATGACTCGAGAAAATGCGTAAGTGCAACGGCAATTTTTTTTGCACTCCACTGTATATTAAAATGAAAAATGTTCTTATGAGAAGTTCGTCTTGTAAACTACAAGACATGTTAATTGATTTTTCTTATATATTTACCTATATCAAGTAGTGTTGATGTTGTTGATAATAAAAAATGTTGAACATGATGTATAGTTATTGTCCAAATAGCTAATATCATTTGTAGACCAACAAAAATAAATGTATATTTATGTATAAATGATATTTTTAACCATCGATGTCGTAAACAAAATCCAATAAGAACAATAATTGTACAAAATAATGATATTATACTAACATCATATTTTGTTTTCGTTAGCAATATTTCATATGACTCTCGTATTTTAATATCAAGTGTACGTAAATTAATCATTTTAGCTGAAACAAGTATAATTGGTCCTGCAAGTAAAGTTGAAACAACAAGTCCAGTTGATGCAATAGCTTGTAATGGTAAATTTGATTCCGGTACATAAAATACAACTGATGGTGCTGTTGGTGCTGTTCCATATAAAAAGCCTAAATTTGAATAGTCCATTGTATTATTTAAATTTTCATTATTTGGTTTAACAAGAAAAAACACAAGTTGACGTAAAATTAATGGAAATATAATTGATTTCATTATACTAAGAAGAAAAACAGTAATAACAAGACGTGAATGTAAACGATTTAATTTTCCAACCATTGTTAAACCAAGGTAAAATAATGCTGTTGCAGTAAATGATTGAGCTATTGGTGTTAGAATATATTCAATTAAATATGGTAACTGTTGTTTTAATATTTGATTAAATACAATACCAAGTAATGTGCATACAATAATTGGATTACGACTTATATTACGAAGAACTGTTGATATTAATTGAAATTTACTCCATGGTTTACTTCGATGTTTTCGTTGATCATCAAAACGTTTTTGCATTTCAATTAAAACAAATCCTATTGGATTAAGTATAGCAAGTTGTATAGGTGCTATTAAATAAACATATCGACCAAATTCAGGATGAGTTTGTTTATAAACAGATTCAATTATTGGAAAAATTAATGGAAAATCATTACTTTGCGTTGCCATTATAGCATATTCACCCATACTAGCAAAATTTCTTGGACGTTCAGCGATAAGTGTTAAAATCATTGTTAAAAAAAATACTATGGTTTTACCAATAAATACAGATGTAAGAAATTGCCATGAAACGCTTTGAAATTGTACATCAACAAGATTTTTAAATATAATAGCAGGTAAAGCAAAATTAGTTATATAACGTGAAAGACCAATTGAATGAGTATGTGTTAAAAGTTTCAATTGACCAGCTATATAGCCAGCACTGATTATAAAAAAACATTGAATAAGAGCTGGATAAAGTTCTCCATCAGAAACTAATGGAATATTGTTTGTTTGATTCATTATCTTTAACAATAAAAAAAAAACAAATATGTACACCTCTGAGCACAAGTATTTCGCCTCCTTCTGATTCTTTTCGTAAAGAACTTTTTTGATGTCAAGTGAATGTTAGTTACAAGAATGAGTTGAGTGCTTTATTGTGATGACAATTTGCTTCAATGAAGAATACTACAAATGACTTAGTTGATAGAATACTTCATGTGTGAATTATCTCTTTTTTGTATCTGCTAATTGTTTTACTGGTTTGAATCATTAAATACTCGTCGTCGCCAACTTGAAGTTTTTTCGAGCATGCGATATAGCCCGTTATACAAATACAGATACAGTAAAACCAGTAAAACATTCAGAAAATACTTCAAGATAACCTAGCGATGAAGTATTCTATCAACTAACTTATTTATAGTGTCGGCCGGTTGTATTGAATGACGTATATTCTTCATTGAAGTAGATTGTAATCAAACATACACTACACTAAGATACAACATTTAAGTCATTCTTGCGACTCACATTCACTTGATACCGAAAGGGTTTGATACGAAAAAAATGAGACGGGGGGGGGGGGGGGGGGGGGGGAAGACTTGCCAAGGGCGTATTGAAATACCCAACATTACAAAAA